ATTTTTTAAGGCAGTGAAACAAAATCCAGCAAACTTAATATTTTGGGGACTTGGTCATTTTGCTATCAGTTTTCCACCAAGACGTTTGCTCAACTGCATAAAATAGCTCAACTTAAGTGTAGAGACCGCATGGGGCTTTATACCTGCGAACTCATGCTAACAGAGTTTGTTTTTAGGAGCAGCCTAACGTTAACACTACTAACTTTTAGCCTGCTAGTTAATTTTAGCCAAACTCAAACTACATTTTAGTTCCTTCGTGTCAAACGTAAAATTTATAAAACAATACAAAATGGACTTTCCCAACAGTAGTTTTTTTATATAGATATATTAACTTTCACCCTCCTCTCTCCTTGTCAGTAAATAAGACTCGTGAAAATGCCTTAACTTTTCCTCTCCCTCTCTCAAGATAATCTGGAATATCGCGAGACTGCCAACTGTTTCCAAATTCAAATTAAAAAACTTTATGTATCCACATGGGGAAATAAAACGCACGCAGAGTAAAGCGAGTAAACTTTTTTTTTATTTGACAATCCACAACCAATTCGGACTTTAAATGGTAGCCAGGTATATACCTGTTCATATGTAAATGCATAAATTTCATAAAAATAATAAAATATTTTTTTAATATTCGAAAACACGGGGCGCATAATGCCAAATGTAGTGGCTTCACAATCACAGAGCACTTTGTGAATAATTTGTCATAAAACAATATGTAAATAAACATTATTGTGCATTTCATTTAAAAAATATATCCCCCACAATGAGTCTTGCTTGAATAGACGTGTAAAGGACGTCAGTGGCCGTCTTTTCACAACCTCTTAAAAACTACTCGGGGCACTTACTTTTTATTGCAGTATTAACCAAGGTGTAAGCACAGTCGCATTTGCATGTTTCGTGCTCAATTTCACAGTGGATTTAATAAAGGATGATGATGGACTGTAAATGCACGTGTAAAGGACGTCACATAGCCTAGTGCAAGGTTTCTCAACCCAGTCCTCGGGGACCACCAGACGGTCCACGTTTTTGCTCTCTCCCAATTGGCAGGGAATTGGGAGAGAGCAAAAACATGGACCGTCTGGTGGTCCCCGAGGACTGGGTTGAGAAACCCTGGCCTAGTGGACCTTCGCTCACACATGCACTCACTATTTAAATGCACTTAGCTAAAACTCAAAGTGACAGCTATACATGCAACCACAGACAACTGTAGACATGTACAAATGTACAGTATCTGAATGCATTTTTAGGCAATGTTCTGTGTCACATATTTTTACCGATTTATGCCGTCTTACCTCGACTGTTTTTGGCCGGGGACACAACGTCGCCGTCGGACCAATGTTTGCTGGGTTTACAACACCAACTCGCTTTCCTCGTGGTTATGGAACGATAAGGCTTTCTCGCGAGATAATCTTTCCTAACGCGAGATGATCTTTCCTATCGTGAGATGAACTTTCCTATCGCGAGATGATCTATCCTATCGCGAGATTTGTTACATCTTGGCAGCACAGTTTTGGCAATCTACACCCAACTCAGACTTCAAATGGTGACCGGAGATATATGTATATGCACAAAATAATAAAATCGTACTGCAATTTACGGAAAACGGGTAGAATTATGACTAAAATTCAGTGGCTTTGCAATCGCTTAACCACACAGGGCACTTTGTGAATATTCATTAAACAAGACGTGAATACAAATTACGTGTATTTCATTACGATTTCCTGTTTATTTATTTATTTATTTATTTAAATGAGTAATGCTTGACTAGACGTGGTAGTCTATTCACAACCTCTTCAAACTACTTGGGGCACTTAAAGAAATTATTACAGTAATAATCAAGGGTAAGCACAATTGCTTTGGCATATTTTATTCATATAGGGTCATGGATGGACTATAAATGCATGTGTAAAGGACGTCACATTGTGGACGTCCTCTCACAACAGTGTATGAATTGAACAACACGGAGCTAAAACTTAAAGTAACAATTATATATGCAACCCCAGAGAACTGTAGATATGTACAAACTTATCTGAATGCATTTTTAGGAAGAGTTCTATGTTAAATATTTTTACGGATTTATGCCGTCCTACCCCGACCATTTTTTGCCAGGGACACGACGTTGCCGTCGGACCAATGTTAGCTGGGTATATGTGGGTGATCATTAAACTCGTTTTCTTTGTCTAAGGCAGATTACCAGCTAATTGACGTTTGTATATTTATTACATGAATATAAGGTAAAGCGGACAGAGTCGCTATTTACTGAATTTTATTGACTTAGAATACAGTAGCCTATAGCGGCTTGAAACGCTTCTCAAATTACAGTATTGTACAAATGAAATTGAACTGTGCGTAATTGAAATATACTATATTGTTCTGCACATAAAATATAGTTTATTGTAGTTTCACTGCTTGTTTTTGTTAGTTCATCACAAGCTTTGATGAGTTTATATTTATCATTGAGAGAAAAATGACTTTTTTACCCCATCATATTTTCTGTGCACACAGCATTAGCCTCAGGTAGCTAGCCAGAAGCCGACAGGCTACCGCAAGTCGAAATACGAATAAAAAACATGAATATGAATCAATATGAATATACCTAATATGAAAGTTACATGGTGTGCATTGTCCCACACTTCACAGGACATGATTGTATTATTTAACTTCATACTTATTAGTCCATAAATAACATCTATTTTTGTACTTTAAACGGACAGGGCGCAGTTATTAATGGTGATGGAAAGTTTTGCGAGATCTTGCAAAAGGGCTTTTTTTTCCCCCTCCATGTCCCTTCCGGGTCTCCGTCGAAAAGGAATGAACGAATGATACACGGATTCTGCCAAACCAGCATTCATGTGTGCTGGAACTGACTACTCAGCCTGGGCAGGAAGGCGTGCCCAAAGCAAGTTAACAGCTTGTCCCTTTAGTAAAAGCAATATGGTAAAAGTAAAATCAGTACGGTTAAACGACGAGCAATAGGGCATTATGAAGCAATATGCTAAAATCAAAAGCAATAAAGAAAAGTATTTTAATTATTCCTTTTATTTAAAATTTCTTTTATTTGTATTTATTTCAACATTTATGTCCTTATTCTTTTACAGATTTATTCTTTTGTATTGGTACTCCTATGACTCCATAGGTAATTGACACAAGAATCCAAGACCAAACGACAATAACAGCACATTTCAATCATCATTTTTCATCCGCAAGCACGAAGTTCCCCAAAAAAACACTTTGGCTTTGGTTGCATTTTACAGACAGCAGATATATTTGCCATGTCTATTGCGTGTTTAGGGCCCATGATCCATCCCCGTAGTGATGAGTACCTGTCCCTCAGCATACTAATAAGAGTGAGTCCCCTTCCCCTCTCTGCACATAGAGTGCCCATTCACTGCTCTGCAAACATGTGCCCTGGGCAGACAGACAAAAAGAGCTTTAAGTCCATGAGCAGTGGGCTGTGCTCAGTATTATTGGCAGCTTTTTGTTCCAATCAAAGGTGATGAAAAAGTGCAAGAGGAGAACGTAAAACACAGGCTTATTCCATGAATGCTAATCGGTTTGGAAGGCTTGTCTCCTGGCAAACTCTGTGAAAAAGCATCGTCCTTCTCACCCAGAGGAGCCGGATTCCAGTGCTGTAGCCGAGGGCCTGGCGTCAGGGAGACTGGGTTCGAGGAGGCGTGGGAGGGCAGGGGATGGGGAGCCGAGACTGTTAACCGATTAACGCTTCTTCAGGTGGAAATGAACGATTTGTTAATGTCACAGTTTGTCCTCTTTTTCTCCCTCCCTCCCTCATCCATTGGATCATCGCCATCGTGGGAAATCACAGGACAGAAAGTGCTCCGTAATCCCAGCAGAGCAAATCCGCAGCCCTGCATCAGCTCACGTGCTCAATGCTCTGCTCTCCTTTCTACACACTGCCGTGCTGCTCACTGAAAAGCCACCTCGCCCCCCCCGCTCTCCCATGCAGTTTTTCCAGGCCAAGCAGCACAGTGCTCCTGTCGCTCTCATCCGTTCTCCCAGTCAGTGGCTCCTCCATTCGTCCTTTAAGGAGGGAATCACATCCCTCTCTTTACAAGCCAGGCAGAGTAGAGGTGAGACTTTTGCTTCTCTCGCCTCATGTTCTCCTCTCAGGGCAATTTGGCAGTATCCCAGAGCCACAGGAGGGGCCCCGCCATGTGTTTCTGCTCACCTCTCCCGACCTCTGACAGCCACGGGGCAGTCCCAGCAGCCCCCAGACCGCCCACCCCCACAAGCCGCAGCCTCTTTTCCATAGTAATCACATCTCTCTGCACCATGATGTGGTTGCGGTCACTGGACACTTGAGACCTGGCATCTTCCTGTAAACTCCCCAGCGTTGGTTTTTGACTATTTTTAACCCCCCCTCCCCCACCACCAATAATAAATTAACCCCAAACCCTCTCCAATGGGGGGAGGAAGTCAGACCTGGCCGTGTGGTGGGGGGGGGGGGGCTGAGTGCTAGCAAGCTAACGCTGACAGCACACTAAACTATACATCAAGTCTGGGGGCAATAAAAAATGCTAAAAATGAAAGATTCCAAAGACCACTTTTCCATCCCTTAAAAAAACCGATGTGACGTGCATCATGTTTGTTACGACCCCTTCCCTTGTGTACCCAGCCCCCCACCCCGTTACCCAAATGTCAGTTCTGGTTGGTGAGATCAGTTGTCAGTTACCGCCACAGCAGTAGAACAGCCAATGAGAGCAGAAGGGGGGGCGTGCTGGGCGGGCCCTGGCTGCCCGTGTCCTTGGCAGGGGCTTTCTTCTCAGGAGTGTAGGCATAAGGTCCAGGCCGGTCCGTCCTGGGGGCCAAAATGCAGGGGTCCCCACGGGGGCAGTGCTCTTCAATGCACGCACCACTGCCTGAGCCACTGATGTCATCACCTGTAGCAGGGGCAGGGAATGGCAGGGGGGTTTAGGTCACATCCCACCATTGGGTAACCCAGTAAAAATGCCTCAGCGGATCAGGGTGGCGATCACGGGCTGAAGATCACGGGCTGTAGACCCCTCCCATTCCACAGGCTGTCGCCCCCTCTGCCCCCCCACTCACTGGCGTCCTGAAAGTCCACATCGTTGCCGTCGAAGGCATTCTTCAGTCGGCTGGTCATGATCTTCAACTGCATGATCTGCTGACGCACATTCATGTCTGGCTTGGTGATGTCCATCTCCACCTCGGGGTTGTTTATCTGGTTGGCTAGGCCGTCGCCCATCTCTTCAGGGAGGTACCTGTCAGGTATAGGGAGACACTCTGGGTTCACTGGTTCAGATCACCTCACGGGGGCACTGACACGGAAGAACGGGGGCAACCCACCTGCCCTTGGTCATGCCGTTCCAGCACTTGTCTTTGGAGATGCTGGGCTCCTCCTTGTCCCCGCACAGCACCTCTGGCAGCTGGACCCAGTAGGACTGCTTCTCTGTCAGCTTGCTGTTCACCTGTGACATCTGGGGGGGACACACAGGAGTGGGGGAGGCGCTATAACATTGGACTGTTTCTGAGAGTGACAAGGGGGGGGGGGGGCGCAATCCACAGCAAGAGCACCAAGGACAAAAGAACATACGGGACCCCCCCTTTAGCCACCTGGGGCTGCCAGTTCATGCCTGGCCTCCTCTACACCTGAAATCCATCCTGCGGGAGGGGCCAACAGGGAATGTTTTCACAGTGGGCTCTACTAGAGTGGCTCAGAACCTTCTGGAAGCCTCCTGAGAGGAGCTGCCCGCTGTCCCACCGGGGTGCTCCAGGCAAAGCTTCGAAGATGCCAAACAACTGATCGAGCATGCGCTGGCGCCCCCAGTGAAGCAGACGGATCACAGCGAGCAGGTGGGTTTGATCCTGCTTCGCTCCAGGTGACTGGGACGTGCAGGCCTCTATGAACCACTAACACATTTAGCATGGGGATGAGAGGCTCGGGAAATGTACAGATAAAGAGTGTTAACTTAAATGGCTTAGCATAGCCTCTGTGTACGGTGAGTGTTTTACCCCCCAGTGCCCTGTAGCTTTCATGTAAAGGGCTTAGCAAAACCTATGTGTATGGTGTGTGTTTTAGCCACTACCAGGCGGCAGCTTTAGCATAAAGAGCTTAGCATACAGTGTGTGTTTTTGCCCATAGTGCTCTGGAGCTTTAACATAAAGGCTTTAGCATCTCCTCCACATGCAGCGTGTGTTGTAGCCTGAGGCGCTGTGTAGCTTTAATTTAACAGCCTTAGTGTAGCCGTAGCATGTGTCTAAGCCTTAGCATGACGTGCTGCCATAACAGCAGGCGGACTGACCTGCCCTTCCAGCCTGGCTGCCAGGATGTTGGGAACCTTGCTGTCTAGTGTGGTCCCCGGCTTCTTGGCCTCCTCTGGCCGGGTGCTGTGGGTGCTGCGGACCTGGGGACTCCCACAAGCCTGCGACACCTGAAATGCAACAACCGCAAAACAGGGTGTAATGCCACCTTAGGACAACAGGTGGTGTAGCAGTTAACAGGAATTGTGTTTGTGTGTGTAATGCAGCAGGTTTAGGGATGGTGAGAAAATACTATGTAAAACCATCAAAAACTGTCTTCTAATAAAAATCAGGGCCGGTGTGTGGCTTAGCGAGTTTGGCACGTCACCAATTAGAATCCCTTGAGTAATGTTACTGTTGGGCCCTTGAGCAAGGTCCTTAACCCCAAATCACTCCAGGGACTGACTAACCCTGTTTTCTCATTAAATGTATGTCACTTTGCATAAAATTGTCTGGCAAATAAATGTAAATGCAAAATCTAAAATGAAACCCCCAATCAGGAAGCTAGCCAGTGTATAAAAGGGATTTCTGTCCCGGAGGAGGGTCACCTTGCTGGTGAAGATGTCCCGGTTCTCCTGCATGTTCATGATGCCGTCAGAGATATGCTGGGGGATGGAGAAGATGGACACATCGAGCCTGGAGTCCCCAGAGATGAAGCGGGTGGCCATCTGCAGCAAGGCAACTGGGAAAGAGAAGGGAAGGGGGTCAGTGTGCCACTCCACGGGCCCCCAGACCCCTAACCCCGAAGGGCCCGCGGCCCCCTGATCCCAATGGGTCCTCAGACCCCTAACCCCAAAGGGCAACCAGGCTCACAGATTAGGTTGCTCCACTCGGGTTGCAGGTCAGCCTGGTTGGCCAAGCAGCCCTTCATGACATTGCGGCAGTAGTTGGCACAAGGCTTGATGGAGGCGATGCCGTGGCACTGGGGGCAGTATGTCATCTTCATGATGGCACGGGTGCACTCTGAGCTCAGCGGCACCTGCGGGGGACAGCAGGGAGGCTCAGTGAGGGCGCGGTGCAGTGTCTTACTGGAGAGGGCAAGATAGCTTTAAGCACTGGATCACCCACCATCTGCTTTCTGTCCATCCATCCATCTATTACACAACCTCTGACTCATCACTGTAGCTGCCTGGACCTTCCAAAATGAACCACAATCTGCTCCTGCTAGTCACAAACCCAGTGATCTGTTGTCTCTGAGCTGGGGAGGGGCAGAGCCACTGTTCGATGCAGATCTTGAACCCCAAACCATTTTAAACATGGCTTGTGTCTGACGTGACCTTTGACCTTCTCTCCGAGACACACAAGCGATTCCACTTCTCCGTGGCCTTTTGGGGAAATGTTTCAGTGGGGGGGCAGTGGTTAAGTTGCTCAGCAGACAGATAATCAGACCCTCTCTACCCTTGACCCATCAAGCCCACAGCCAGGAGCAGCTGGGTTTATAGCCTGTGCTCTCAGGTGACCCAGACTGCCCAGCCTTCCCCTCATCCACTGGGCATTCTCAAGCAGGGTGACAGCGGTTTGTGAATTTAGCATTATTGCAGTTATTCTGCAACAGATAGAGTTGGATGTCTTGAGACCGGTCTTGGTCTCGAGACCACTTTTACGTGGTCTTGGTCTTGTCACAGTCTTGACAGTCTTTGGTCTTGGTCTTGGTCTCGGATCCCTCGATCTTGTCTTGGACTTGCTGTCTCAGATCGACATAGTGGTCAGGAGATTTGGAGCGAAAAGTATCCATGACACACAACATAACGTTTGATAATGCAACATTATTATTATTTCGCCTTTCGCGCCCTTCAAATGCAACCAATCTGGCACTTCAGGAGGCCTTCAGAGCGGTTCAGTTTCTGCCAGAAACATGCATTTTGTTGTGATTCAGACATTGGCGCTCATCCAATCAAAATACACGTTATAGGCGCAAAATAAGTTAAACGCTAGATCCAGCATCACAGGCTACAAGATGTTGCAATCTTTAGTTTTCCTGAAGTGCAATCAACCACTATTTTAAAATGTGAGCTGTTTTCTCTCTCTCCCTCCTCTCTGAAAATATGCATATTACATCACTATTACAGTGATGCTCTCATTCTCTCTCTCTCTCTCCCTCCACTTTTAAGTATTTCATCTATCTGTATTAGTTTATCAATCTGTTATTTGTCCATAATGTCTGTGTTCTATTGTTCTTGCCCTACTGAACAACAGGCTTGATATCATTGGCAGTGAGTTGTCACTTCAGATATCAAGATGTCAGAATCTTTTAAGCACTTGTCCTTAATTTTATTAATGCACAATTTGATGTGCAGTTTGTATTGGTATATAGTATTTGTAGTTTGCATTTGATTCATGTGAAGTGTGCACATGTCTTTATATTGTTTGATTACAATATTATACTTAAAATGGTGTTGACTAAATAAATGTGACCATTGGATTTCAAGTAACATCTGCATATCACGTTGTGTTGACTTAACAGGCCTAATCCATTTCAGGGCAGTTGATATCATAGTGTCGTCATTTGTACTACTACAGTGGGACATGATGCAATTTCAAGTTTATAATTGTGTGTCTTCAATTTGATTTTACAATTTCATCTACAAATTAAGTATATCGTATTTTTCGGACCATAAGACGCACCTAGTTGTAGGGGAGGGAAATGAAGAAAAAAAAGATTCTGAACCAAATAGTGTCCTACAATATTTTACGTCAACCATGTACAGTGAACAGTAGTCAACAGCAGCATTAAGAACCATTATCACTGTTATTAACAAATAAAGTCAGTAAAAAACAATACAAGTACAAAGAAACAAGAAGACACTTCAGTAACAAGACTTGGTCTTGGTCTTTTCTTGGTCTCGGTACCCTCTGGTCTTGGTAGTGTCTTGGTCTTTGTTTAGGCGGTCTTGACTACAAGTCTAGCAACAGATGGGGTCATTTTGGTCTGGGACTCTAGGTCCGATTGGTCACTGTAATGTCCTGTTTACCAGGGACAGATTAAAGACTGAATTTCACATTTTACATGACAAATGCTTGCATACTTTTTTAAATTCCAAAATCCCTGCTTTTGCTGATTAAAATCCAAACAGGCTTGGGCAGCAACTTGGAGATGCAGATAATGTCGGACAAACCATGTCTGCTGGTGAACACTAAGTTTAAAATAGCGTACAAGCGTATCAGTGGTGATGAAATCCTGTCTGGTGGCTGAACACAGCGGCAGATATTTGTAACTGCGACTCATGAGGCCTTCACCGGCTGTCCCCGATAACGAAATTGCTAATGAATCATTGTGACATCCCAGAGACAAACGGAATGTTCTGCTTTGCTTTTCACCATGGTGATGATGATGATGGTGAGCCTTCAGCCAAATTGAGGGTGCGGCATGAGCAGGGTTAAGCACACAGCTGTGAAATCAAGCCCCTGCCCCCCCCCCTCAGATTTGCACTGCGTGGGGTTTACACTCCTCCAGGAAATGCGTTTCGGAATGTGCTACAAACAGGATGTGGAAGGTGTCAGACAGATGTGCGGTCAGGGGAATTTAGTCTGGATGTTTAAAAATGGGAAAAAAAAAAAAGTTTTCCTGTTAAAACATCACCAGAGCAGAGTACATCACAGAGCTCCAGCCAGAAGCAGAGAGAAATCCCCCCCGCTAGTCCCAGGAGCGACCTACAGCAAGAAGTGGATCTCCACACGGACCAGCTGTGTCTAGGGGAGCCAGGTGCGGGAAGAGGTTTGGGATGGGGGGGTCGACACCTGTGACAGGGGGCTGGTCACTGTTTCACTCATTCATTAGCTTAGCTCCTCTGATGAACATGAACTGTATGAGTAAAGAGAGCAGAATGCTTTGGGGTGGGTTTAAAAAAGGCAGCAAGTGACCTGATTGCTGATCTGCTTATATATGTGTGACACTCTGGGAACAGCCCCCCCTCACCCACAACACAAGGCAGACCACCGGTGACATCAGTGACACAGGCATACAAAATGCAGGAAATGGTCCCATCCCACAGCCCGACCCTGCTCGATCTTCATGCCGCTCAGACAGGACCGGAGAACGCAGCAAGTATCAGCCCAAATCCCCCCCCCCCCCCCCCCCCCCGAGAATAGAGCAAGTTAACATGATGTATATGTCTAAAGCAGGAAGTGGTGAGGCGTGATCTTCAGGAACATGCCGCACCCACACCACATTAGCACACTGCTTCATCCAACCGTCACGGAAAACGTGAGTCACTCCATCCACCGGAAAGTGCCAGAAAGCTCGGGAGATGAGCCTTCATCCCCGCCCAGGCTCACTCTCGGCCACGTTCGGGGACTGGATGGCATGTCCCCAGCTGGGACATGACAGTGCGGAGGTGTGAGCAAACAGGAACTGTCCCCGAACAGCGATTTGTGTCATTGTGAATCGAACATTTGCCCGGGAGACAGAAAGAGAGGAATGGAGATTAGGGTAAAAAAAAAAAAAAAGGCATTTAATGCTAAGAGTGCGAATTGCCCCAAGCTGCCCCTCCATGGTGATGGAGAACCTTTCAGAAGTGCTGCCTTTGGGTACCTGTGAGACTTTGTGGACCACGTCATGGCTGACGGAGAGGCCCTGGACGAAGGAGCGCACGGCCACGAAGACGCGCTTCACCCGGAGCCGCAGGTCACGAGGGGCATCCCCAAACGGCCGTAGCGCCTCCATCTGTTTGGCCAAACACTCCAGGAAATCACCGGTGGTGGGCTCCTGCAGGCCCCACACCCGGAACAGGCGCTCCAGTAGGCGTGGCCAGAAGTCGTTGAGCGCCTCCTCCAGGTTGACGCCAGAGCCGCGGTGGTAGCGACGCAGGTCGGTATAGAGCTCGCGGGAGACGGCCGCACCCTCTGCGTACAGCTCACCGGGAGTGCTGCCCAGCCAGTCCTGCAGGAGGCCTTCAGAGCGGTTCAGCAGCTCTGCAAAGTACCCTGGGGGGTCGGAGATACAAGAATATCAGCACCCCTCCTAAATGGAAGTTATTTACAGGAGCTATGAAACCACACGGCCACTACCATACAAATAAACACAACATGCAGACCGTTTCTGAGTTTGGGAATAATACTGGAAGAACAACAGGAGAAAAGTCTACCCCCCCCACTCTCTCTGTCTCTGCCCCCCCATCTCCAGCAGCACCTGACATCCCTCAGACCCCTACACTGGATGACTGCTATCCTTGAAAATCTTAGACCAGGGTCTTGTGGGGGTTAGGAATTAATCTGTGCAACCCAGCCTGACAGTAAAAGTACTGTGAGGTTTGGGGTATCGGAGGAGACCATGCCCCCCTGCACTGCTCCTTCTGCCCACCCCCGAATCGTCAGAAACATCGAAGTGGGTCACAGAAACAGGAGAGATATCCAGATATAGACGAGAGCTGATCGGAGGGAGGAGACATTACAGCAGTAAGAGACACAGACAGGGACAATCACAGACATCCAGGGACAGACCTCTGTGATCATCAGCCCTGAAATGGTACCAAATCCAGCCCCAATCCCACAAGGACCCTTTTGTTTTGTGTGTGAGTGTGTGAGCGGGTATACCAAAATACTCTTGTATTTTTTTTGGTTACTTATGGTTATGTAGGGGTTAAGGTTGTCATAGTTAGCGTTAGCATTTTTCCCATAGAAGTGAATGAGCAGTCCCCATAAGGATAGGTATACCCGACATGCGTGTGCGTGCGTGTGTGTGTGTGTGTGTGTGTGTGTGCGCGTGCGTGTAGGGGAGGGGGGGGCCCCCTGTGCGTTACCCATCTCCATTTCCCTGCCACGGACACAGCCAGCAGGAACGTGCACACAAAGTTAATTTTGGACCACAGAGTAACGGTCCAGCCCAGGTCAGGAGTGGTCCTCTGTACTTCCCGGCGCCTGCAGGCTTCAGCTCACGGCCCGCATGGATCTGGATGCTTTTCCACAACCTCCCAGCATTTGGAACAAGCTCCTTATCCTGCCCATTACAGCGACACTCTGGGCCAAAACGCACGCCTTTGTAGAAGCACCACTGGAGTCAGGGCTTAGATCCTCGCACCAGCCGGCTCCCAGGCTTCTGATCTGCACTGCGGTCCACAGTGCCAGATCCCACATCCATCCAAATAGTAGATGGGGAGCGGTTCTCCAGATCAGAGTTTGCCGGGAGACACAGCGAGTGTCCACCTGGATTCAGGATGGTCACATGATGACCTCACCGTCTTATGGCGTCACACAGATACACAGAGAGAATTACAGACACTCCACAGTGTCCCCTCCCTGTAAGTGAAGGCCAAACTTTAAATATTAAGCATGTGCCTGAGCAGTGGGTTCGACAGCACAGGGAAAAGCCCTGGCATGGCGCAGATGCAGACCGACCAGAGTGCAGATGCTGGGCAAGCACTGCGCAGATGCAGACTCAGGCAATGTGGCTTAAGTGACGAGGCCACAGGGCCGGAAAAAAAAGCCTTCTGGATGAGGCTGCTCTTACCCCATGCATCTGGAACATGCCCAGTGATGCCGGGCTCAGCAGGAGAACCCCCCCCCCTGACAAGCGTGACTATGTTGTGTGTGGG